ATTTCAAACGTGGTAGTACTCGAGAACGTGATTTTGCTTTCAGTTGGAAACGTCTCCCGCCACGTACAAAGTACACCTCAAAAGGCTTTAGTAAGTTTCAGTCTTTTTTGTGAAGGTGATAGATAATGCCTTAGAAAACCTAATTTTTTACATGTGGGTGTGTGATATACACGAACGCTTGAACATTTTCACAAATTAAGTAGTACTCACAAACTTTACTTAGAATTGTTTTTTCAAATAAGTACTGTCTGGAGATGGCGTGGTATTACTTCGGGTTCAGAAGTATCCAGTTGCTCAGCTGAACACCGAATCGCTTCTTATCAGACCCTTTTTTAAATATAGGGACGAACACTCATGTTTTATCTTGCTACTTCTTTCTGCCAGGTCAGCAATTTATTGTAAAGAACGAATCTGGCTGATCAAATCTGGACCGATGTGGGTGCGCTCTCAACGGTTTGCGAGACGAACGGCGTTATTGTCCTTCCGAGCCTTTTCCATTCTCGCGCTGTGTAAACTTGACTGCAAATACAGCGTTCTGCATGAAAGACTATCTGCCGTATTCAAACATTAAACCATTCCCTGTCGCCCCAGGCCATATAATCTACTGTTTTACAAGATGTCTTTCACCGCATTTTTGAAAATTAAATGGAATATTGAAGAAAATCACCTGCGTTTTAAGCCTGAAGAATCCAGTCATTAGGATTTGTTTATAAGCATAATATCTTTTTGGCCTTTGCAATTAAGACAACCTTTTATCGATAAGCCCACTTGGTTTAAAAGCACCGTCGTACAGAGGATGTAAAAATAATTTTGAAAAGAACCATGACAGGAAACAACATATTCTGTTGCTGATGCCTCATGCTCATCGCGAGGATATGTTAGAACGTTTTGTGAGCTGACACCACACCAGTATGAACTAATTAATGCAAAGTAAATTGGGATCTCATGATTATCGAAATGAGAATCTGATTCGGAACGAACGTCCTGAAAATCGATTGCAATACCTTTAGAGTAGAAGTACCCAGACAGGCGTTTTCACAAACTGAAGT